GCAGCTTTACATGCAGATGATCATGCCGATGAAGGCGCTGAAGGCGAGCACGCCGAAACTACTCCTCACAGCCGGCGCCGAAGCCTGGACGAAGCCGTCAATGACATCGCTCTCGGCAGGTGGCGCGGCAGGGGTGCCAATGTCGGCAGAGTCTGCAGGGACACCGGCAACAGTGGTGACATCGCTCTCCTCTTCGGCGGGGACACCTTGACCGACGGTGATGTCGTTATCTGTCGCGGGCTCGCCAGTGATGGCAAAGTCGCCTTCCGGCTCGGGAATGCCCTGGCCGACATTGCTGGCGACTTCAGGGGCAGGGGGCGCAGCCGCGGGAACCTCGCCCTCGGGGCCAGGAGCGGGAGCGCCCTCAGCGGGGATGGCTACTTCGGGGACAGGGGGGGCAGCACCGGCGGGAATCTCGCCCTCGGGAGCAGGGGGGGCAGCACCGGCGGGAATCTCGCCCTCGGGAGCAGGAGGGGCACCGGCGGGAATGGCTCCTTCGGGAGCAGGAGGGGCAACAGCAGGAATGGCTCCTTCGGGAGCAGGAGGGGCAACAGCAGGAATAGCTCCTTCGGGAGCAGGGGGGGCAACAGCAGCACCAGCGGGCACCTCGCCCTCGGGAGCAGGCGGCTCGGCGGGGTACTCGGGTCCGTACGTGGGCTGGGCGTGCACGGGGGCAACCTGGCCGGGCACGGCACCGTCGGCGAAGACGCCGTTGCCCTCAATGTGGACGCTGGGCGTAAAGTCGGCGACGGGCGCTGTGATGACAATCTCGCCGCCCTCGCAGACGCCACAGGCGACCTTGGTCTCGACGAAGAAGGGAGGCAGGGCGGGGCGGGTGTAGTCTGCGGGGTTGCCGGTGATGGTCTCTGTCACGGTGTAGCAGGCGTCCCAGGTCGACTGGGGGTTGGCGGCGAGGAAGTTGGTGGTCCAGGTCGTGGTCCAGATGGTCTCGGTGGTCATGGTGACGGCCGAGCCGCAGTCGTAAAATGTGGACGAGAGGACGGCGGGGTAGCTGTGGATGTCAGTGTCTGTCTGTAAGAGACCATGTAGGTGCAACATACACCATGATGCCGTTTTTCGGTGAGTGGTGCTAGAGATGTGGTTTGGGTGGACACTCGGCTGGCGAGTGATGGGTTGGTCGAAAAAGAAGAACAAGGGTCGAGTTGTCAATGTCGAGTACGAAAAGGCCAAGTCCTGCTTGTATCGTAGAGTTGTCGTGGTAGTCGTAATCGGTCGTGGATGTCGAATATTGTCGTGTTGGATGGGTGTACAGGAAGCTGCTGTCAGGAGGCCGAGAAGACGGCAAGCTTTTAAGCATAGATGCTCCCGCAGATCCGCGAGACGGGCGGGATACCACCGCGATCCAGAAGCCGCAGAACGGCACGCAAAGCTGTCATGCATTCTAGCGTCCGCCGTCACTTGAACAACGGAGCGTCGACGGGGCGACCCAACCACATGGAAAGGGGTCGTGGGAATGCTTCGACATTGGGCCACATTCCGTCAAAGGCTTCTTCGACGGGGATCGCCTCATGCGGGAGGGTCCAGATGCAGGTACTCAGCCCAGCTCGATCCCCAGGCATTCCATGGGGTGTTCGAAGGAGAGGCATTGAGCGTCAGAGGCGTGCCTCGGGCGATTTTACACGTGGCGAGCTGTCTGATTACAGCAGCAGAGGGGGGTGAAGCCCAGTTTGCGCGGCTCGTTGCCTCGTCGAACGCCAAGACATGGGAAATATGGACATGGCGGTTGGAGGTTCTGGCGACAGATCGACGAGCGACGGCTTGACGATGGAACGCACCAGCCTCTTGTGGCGTCTTTCAGGAGTGTGGCAAGCGCAAGGCGCAAGGCGCAGGCACAAACAGGTCCGAGCGGCGTCTTGTCTCGCTCACACAAATTTTCACAAGGACAATGGTCTGTCCCCCATCTTCAGCATTTCTCCCCCACTCGGGTTCATCTAGAGGAGAAACTTCCTAATTTCAAGGGATAAATTGGTCTCCAGAGCGTCTCTCCCGAAGGAGAGAAGGCAACACGACACCGTAGGGAGCTGGATGTCGGTCGTGGCAGCTCTGTTCGCTTTTGATCTGAAGAAGAAAGGGAAAAGAGAAAGATAGAACGGGATTTTTTTCTCGCGATGTTTGTAGGCGGCTGAAATGCACTAGTCCGCTTATGGAAGGCGGTGGTCCTGCTCGACGCTGCCCGCGTCTAATGGCAGCGTCTTATGTCAGCAGTCTCCTGTCGGCAGTGGCAGTCGTCTCGTCGCCCACCCGATCGATGATGCCTTTGGCCTCTGAGCCAGCACCATCGCCATCTTCAGGCTACACGCGGAGAACGACTTCAGTACCGCCATCACTTCCGTTGGTTTATTCCCTGTCTGGTGGACTGCACAATAGAAGCTCGATTCAGAAGCTCGATTCAGGTATCTAAGAAAGCAAATATTACGCCAAGCTGGGAATCTATCTATAAACTCCGCCCCCTGATCAAGCCAAGGTAAGGCAGGCCAACCGACGCTGACACGCTCGGGCACACAGACACACAACCCCGCCGCTCCCTTATTTCTTGCCGTTGGCCGCGTCCTTGCTGTAGTTCGTACCCAGGTACCGTCCCTTGAGGAGCCACACGGCGAGGCTCGGCAGCTTGAAGGTGCCCATCTGCCCGGTGCCGCGGCTGCGCCCCATGGTCACGGCGGCGACGACCTTGGGATCCGGCGTGTAGGTGCCGACCTTGCCCTCGCCGGTGAAGCGGTGGTGCAGGCTCTTGGAGAGGAAGGTGGCCTGGAGGCCGGCGAGGTAGGCCGTGCCGTTCTCGAGGTCGCCGGCGTCGCCGACGACGTACAGACTGTCGTAGCCGGGGACCTTGAACTCGGTGTTCTGGCGCACGAGGCCGTTCTTGTCGAGCAGACCCGCCGGCACGAAGCTCGTGTTGGGCACGAGGCCAAACGTCGGCAGGTACGCGTCGGCCTCGAGCTCGGACGTCGCGCCCGACGCGTTGGTCAGCTGCAGAATCGTCTTGCCGGTGCCGGCGCCGCCCTCGCGCGCGCCCGTCACCTTGGACCGGTCGATGACCTTGACGCCGAGCTTCTCGAGCTCCTTGCGCGCGATGCGCCGCACGTCCTCGCGGATGTTGTCCTCGAGCGGCAGCTCCTGGCCGATGACAAAGTAGACGTCCTTCTTGCGGCCGAATTCAAAGCCCACCTCGCCGGCCACCTCGACGCCCGTCGTGCCGCCGCCGGCAATGACAATCTTGTTGGCGGCCGCAATCTGCTTGCGCAGGGCGCCCAGGCGCGCCTTGGTCTGGTCCGTCGTGCCGACCTCCTTCCACGGCATGTCGTCCCGGGCACGCGAGCCCGTGGCGATGACGAGGGCGTCGTAGGCGATGGTGCGCTCGGCGCCGGAGACGGTGCGCACGACGACGGTCGAGGCGTCCGGGTTCAGCGACTCGGCCGAGCCGATGACGAGCTCGTAGCGGTCCTTGGGGTACTGGGCAAAGGCGGCCGCGAGGGGCGTGAAGAGCGTCTCGTCATCGTACTGGCCCGGCACGATGCCGCGCACGGAAGCCAGGTTCCAGTAACTATCATGGTCAGTCTTTTTTTCTTCTTTTTCTTTTCTTCTTTTTCGTTCTGTTCTGCCTTTGGCTGAGAAGCAATGTGACGTACTGTTCGGTGTTGGGTGTGACAATGATGACCTTGAGGTCCTTGGCCTTGGGAACCGTGTTCTTGAGGGCGCGGTGGGCGATGCTCGTGCCGGCCACGCCAGCGCCGAGGACGACGAGTGTCTTGGTCATTGCGGCTGCGGTGTTTGGTGTATGGGTTTGACACAGGTGCGTTATGGTGAAGGGGGATTGGTGTTCGAGATGTGTGCAAGGTAGGAAGTAGTCGTAGTGCTGAAGCTGTGATGTCCCAGAAACGCAATCACAGACGGCACGAAGGACCCCTATATACCATCCCCTCCAGCCGCCGTCGCATCGTGTCTCACGCCACGCACCCCGGCAGTGACCATGTACCGATGGCGTCTCGTCAATGTCAGCTTGAGCCTCATTAGAAATCCCACATTGCCAAACTCCGCCCAACACGGCGCCCATCCCACAATCCCACATGGCGGCTCATGTCCAGATGGCAGCTCATCCCACATGGCGCCGTACCAGGTACGCCAGCCAGACAGGAAAGGGACCGCCCGCCCCCCCAATCACGGCACATCCCACACATGTGCTTAGGGGCCCCCATCGGCATCAAATCTGCTGGCATGCTGTGAATGACTAAACAAAGTGTAGTCCACGACCCCCATGCCTCGACCCAAAAGAACGGGTAAAAAAAAAAAAAGTAAGCGTCTAATGATAGTACCAGGGGGGACTAGACTGAAGAAAACGGGATAAACTACTGTCCTTCGCGCGCGCGGCGGAGTCGGGGGGGGCTTTCGTCAATCAAGGAGACAGACGTGAAAAGGCTGATCGATGCATTGTTGCGCTGTTGGTGCGAGAAACGGCAGGTCGAGCCGGCGACACATCTGGTCTAGCGCGCGCGGTAACGAGAAAAAGGCAGGGCGTGACGAGTACACGTGACCGTGATTTAGTCAGCGGCACGTCGAGTTGGTGAGGTGAAGGTTTGCGCGCGCCGGGCACTCTCGTGGGCGCTTCGCTGCGTGGTGTCATGTCTCGCCCACATCTGACTCGATGCACCTCGCGTTCGCTTTGCCAATGTCCGCGCAGCGAAAGGGCTTGGGTTGCCAAATCTTCATTTCCTGTCTATTGAAGCGCAACGCGGGCCGTCGGCCTGACAGGACCCCCAATGTCGCCGTGGCCCCGTCTCCCCTTCACACAACGCGCGCCTCCTATGCCAGTCCCATGAAGACCACCGCCACCACAGCGAGACTCAAGCCCATGACGCCCATCCGGCCCGGAGCCCCGTACGTCGCTGATCCCGCGACCGGTCGGTTTCCGTTCTGCGTGCCCCCACCTCCCTGTACCGGCTGCTGCTGACCGAGCCCCGGCTGTCCCGGCGCCGGCTGTCCCTGGCCGAGACCACCCCCAGGCTGCGCCGGTGGCGCTGCTGCTGCTGCTGCTGCCCGCCGCCCACCGTGCCGTTGCCGCTGCCGTCGCGAATGGGTCCCGTATTGCGCACGATAAAGTAGTCCCCCGCCACGGCGTTCATCTGCAGCCCCGCCGCCGTGAGCGCCTGCACGGCGTCGAACCCGCGCCTCTCGCTCGTGGCCTGCGACAGCGCGCTGAGCCCCTGCTGCGTGATCTGCGTGTGGTCGACGGCGACAAAGGCGTAGCGGTGTGCGAGGGGCGCCCGCGCCGGCGGGTTGGGCCCGATGTACTCGGCGAGCGGCGGCTGCTGCGCGAGGTTCTGCATGACGTAGACCGTCTTGGGCCCCGCCGTCGAGTTGAGCACCATGGGCGTCGGCGACGAGTGGAAGCCCGTCTGCGCCAGGTGCAGCAGTGGGTTGTCTGCGGAGGCGCGCTCGTCGTATGTCCATTGTCGATCATCATGATGGCGTACGTGCCCTGGAGCGGACTGCTCTGTCGCGATGGAGCGGCACTTTGGCCGTTGCTGCTTGTTAGCATCGGTCGAGTTTTCGTCGGAGTGGCGGAGATACGCACACTCTTTTTGGCAGATTGCGCCGTTCATGGCCGCGATGCCGCCGTAGGAGATGATGAGCGCGCCTTGTCCCGCAGGCTGGAAGCCCGGTGGTGTAGCGGCCGAGACCAACGACGCCGCCGCCAGGGCGATGAGCGATGTAGAAATCATGTCAAGAAATATTAAGAAGAAAACCTGTGCCGGAGAAGAAGACGTATGATACAAATCGAATTCCCTCCCCAAAAAAATCCAAGATGCGTAATGCGTCGTGAGCAAAGGAACATCGACCGACGCCAGGCCAAGATCGTGTCAAAGAGAAGAAGAGAAGAGAGGGACACGAGCCAAGATTTGCAGCGACGCCCATCTAAATGAAAGAATACGCATCTGCGACGGGAGACACACTATTCTCGGTTCCGGTGAGAGCTTCGTCCGTTCCTCAGCCCGCCCGAAACCAGAACGCCTCTGCGTGAAACAGGTGCTCAACAGTGCTGATACAGCAAAGACAACCTCTCCTGCGTATGGGGCCATCGCAATGTTCTTGCGACGCACACTCGTGCAGTCGCCGGCCGCTTGGCAACTTGGATCATCCTCGGCGACGCATCTTCTTCAACATGTCGATGCAGGCGACTTGGAATTAACCTCAGGTCAATCGCATCCTGAAGTAGCGTGGGGTGAGGGCGACCAACATCGCAGTGCACCTCAGCAGAGCGCATCTGAAACGACTAATTCATCCCAACTCTGCTCGCCCCGGATGCCGATCGGCATTGCTCGAAACTTTGTTTCCGAGTCAAGGCTCCGCCCTTGCTACTTAGTTGGGGAACCAAAGGTGATGCTGATGTGCTTCTCCCGTTTGTGGATGTCCAGTATGGTGCGACGCGGAAGGGGTCTCAATGGCAAGGTCCGATCACCAGATCTTGCGATATCTGTTGCGCGGGGAGCTATTGCCGCTTCCCTCATACATTTCCTAGATTGATGTAATGCTTGTAATTTGGCCCGAATGGGGCGCAAAAATCATTGTGTGTAGTGTTTAGTTGAAGCAAGTTGGGGCTAGTTACTATGATGCTTCCACGACGAAAAGAATTCATGAGCTAAGAATCAAAGCGCTGATGAGTGATGCCAGCACCACCGTTCCTAGAGCAGTCAACTGAGACCACATTCTGGTCTCAGATCTCGCGCTCCAAACCACATGTGTCTTGCCTGAGCGGTAGCAACAGGCTTGAAAACCCAGTCACGCATTCGAAAGGCGATCTCACGTTCCCCGGCTGCTTCATCGATATGCGCAATCTCGTACGATGCTGCTAGCATCCGCGGGTACCCATCTGCCTTCGTCTTGATATTGCGGCTCACTGTGTCCCGTAGCTACTAGTAGTTCCCAATGCTGACGGTTCAGACATGCAATCGATGGCCATCACCGTACTGTACCTGATCAGGCGGATTACAAGATGAAAAGGGCGGGCTTGAAATCCCGATGAGCAGCTTATCTATCAGCATGCCGTTTGGGAGGGGACTTCTGGTAGGTAGAGAATGCTAGGGGATCTGGGTACCTGAGCATTATGTCCGCCATTCTTTCTGCAACCCGCTTGCTTGTTCAGAGAACTGTTCTGCGACTGACCGAGAAATTGCGAGCGTCAACAAAGCACTCATCACGGATAACGGAACAAACAAAAGCAGACTTCCCCTCAACATCCATACAGTTGATTGGCCGTCGCGTACTTACGCCATGACAACTGATGCACGACAGTGAACAGCGCCACAGCAAACGGCCGCATGGCTGGCGATCTCGGGTCGAAAGAGCGGGGGATGGGGCGAAACATCTCTGTACTCGACAGGCTCTTGGGATACCGTTGACCATCAAGTACAGGTGAGTTTCGACCCCGCTCGGGCAGAAGAAGATCCTTGATCGGCGCGATTAGTTCGGCCACCCGTAGGCCATCCGGGATGAAGCAGCCCCAGGCCTGGCCCGTGGAACATCAGGCGATGATGGCTGCGAGTTGGCTTTGGAACAAGGGTCCTCTGGTGAGATCAGATCGAAATATCAGATCATGAGTCCGCGGCCGGCCGTCGTATCTGCTATCCATGAGGAAGATCGAAATGATATTCGCCATCTCTATATCTCCAACTGTTCTTGCCCTCGCACGGGGGTGGCATAGCGAGTATATTGTTGAGGCAGGGACCTGGGCTTGCATATGAAAGTGCAGCTTAGCTCCAAACCTTGCCACATCCTAGGCGTCAAGTCAGCCAAATTGAAACAATTGACCCATCAAGGCATGGAATTGGAGGAGGATTCAACAAGCGCATGCGGGCAGGATGATCCCTGAAATGTTCATCCGTGAGAATGCACATCCAGATGGACGCAGCGAGCGGTCGGCAAAAATAATGTCCCACTATATGAGTGAGCACCCAGAACAGCGCCGGCCCTTGCTTCGCTGTCCGGCTGTAGAGCTTTCTGGTTGGCTATTTTGTCTGTCGAGTGCTATGGCTGCACCACCGGCTCCCATCATGCCCAACAACATAGCATCGACGCGGCTAGTATGTTCGTGGAACGACCGCTTGCGTATGGGACACAGTAGAGCGGGCGCCGGGATGGCAGTGGCTATTGAGACGGTTCGCATCATAAGTGACGTCGGCCGTGGGAGCGTATGGTGCGGTGGGATGACAGACGATGTCATTGAGCCTCATCGCGGGTCGTCAGCGCGCAACCCTCCCGGACAAGACGAGCTTACGCTGAATGTGTCCATGGGTGCCACGAGCGCAGGATGCGTTCTTCTCAGGCTGATGACAACACCCTCTTCCACGGCCGCGAATTGGGATATCCGGGCGACGGTTAGTTTGCTTGCATTGCCGTGTGGTAGCCTCGAGGCCGACGATGGACAGAGAGGGTAGAAAGGAGCCATGTCCGTCACGTGTGACGCCAGAGGTGTTGCAGATCCCGGAGAGATGCCTAGTGCGGCCTTGGGTGATCTGTTTTGGCCCAGCCCTCGACGTCGCTGCTGCACATCCCCCGGCTCCCGGACGCCCAGACCAGGCTGGAATGGTGAAGATTTGCGTCGCTGGTATGGTGCCTCTTCGAATGGTGCACATCAAACTAAGTGATGCTTGGCTACCGCTGTCAAGGAGCCGCAATCGCCAAGATCATGACAGAAGGGCTCGGGCCAAGGCTTCTGAGGGCCAGGGGCGAGCAGACGGATGGGCATAGCCAAGACGACGTCAATCGGAAATCCTTCGCGTTCTAGGCTCCTGAAATGTGAGGGCTCGTCCAGGTGGATGTCGTACGTACGAACGATGGATACCCGTGTCGTCGGGGAAGGGAGGGAGGGGGTGATGCAAGTGATGGCATGAATGGAGGCAAAGATGGGCAAACCACCGGGCAGGAGCTCTGGGTGGCCGTCGTTGTCGTCGCGCAAGTGGAAACGGTGACGGAGACGGGCGAGGGGTTTGCCGTCGAGAGGGTGGGGCAGAGCGACTTTGCGTGGCATTGATTGGACAGGGCTGACATCATGTGGCGGTGACTGACCTCACTGGAGTTTGACTCGATGACACTCGTCCTCCACCTCTGTCCACCAGGGCTCCTCTATTGCTGACGTTTCGACGGTTCGGTCGTTCTGCCATGTACGTTGCTGGCTGAAAATTCTGGGGCGTCTTGTGGTGTTCTTTTGCTGTTCGTATACGGATACTCGTCGGGCGAGGGTCTGTGTCGTCGGTATTGACGTCTGGTGGTTTTGCCGCTGCCGTAATGGCACATTTGTCTGGCTCCCGCCTTTCCGCATGCTTTGCTGCCTGCCCTTAATGATCAGCACCCTCTGTTTGCTCAGTATGCATTGGTCCGCGTCGTTTTGGTGATCCCTACGATGAAGTTGTGTCTTGACAAAAACCCCTTTCCGCTTGACAGCCTCGTCGGACCCCATATTCTGCTACTCATGCAACTTCACGAGCTGATAGCTGTCAAGTCGAGGGTGGGTGGGCCTTGGCAGCAACGACCTGTCCGGCTTTGGGATGTCAGTACCGGGTGTGACCCCCTTGGGCATTCTGCCGTGGCCTCGATGTCGGTACATGTGGGAACCGAGATTGCCATCGTGCACCTGACCAGCCTTTGGGAGGCAAAAGATGGCAAATTCTCGCACTTTCAAAAGGCGCACCACCGAGAACGGCGGGAAATCCCATGTTGGTGTGACAGCGGAAAGTGAGAATGAAGTCGACGCCGCTCACGATCCCGAGCTGGGCCCCATAGGAGCGGAGATCAAGCCAATGGGCTCACGAGCTACGAGCCCGTCCGAAACAGACAGAGACTGCGAATGGCATCACCGGGGCGGTCGCTTGTTGGGGAAGGCAAGGGGGGGCCCTAGGATGGGCGGCGCTGATCAGGTCTAGAGGGTGTACAGCAATCCAAGACTATCCATTAGGCTCAGGAAGCTCGTCCTCAGAGGAGCGGAGCGGAAGGGAGGTAAAGCTGTGAACTGTGAGCGGAAGAGATTGCTGTTTGCTTTCAGGGTCCTTCTTCGCCTCCCGACCGGGGAGGGGAGACACAGGGTAGTCTGCATGACGCGCCTCGCTACAACGAGCGATAACTGTCTGCGCAAGACGCAGGAGGTCATGTCCAATGACATCATGCACACAGACCAACTAGCGCATACTTCGGTCTGCCGATCGCCCACCGAGACAGGGCAGACAAAGCAGCGAGGTCACTGGCTCCGCCCCCCGCAAGTGATGCCTGACGGAAGGGCCTGCTTTTCCCTGGTGCGTCGGCGGGCGAACACGGCGTGCCAGGCCAGGCGTGCGAGGCGTGCGAGGCGAGCAGGCGAGACAAGGCAAGCATGTCACCGCTGAAGGGGGCGGCGTCTGTCAGCGATCTGCAGGGTCCTGCCGTTTCGAGCCGTCGTCTCGGTTTTGCCTCCATCCGGCACCCACCCAAAGGCACTCCCCCCCCTCCCCCCCCCCTTCGCACGCTTCTGCCTTTGCAGCCAAGCCCAACGCTATACCCGAGTTCATGACCGCCTGCTTGCATGAACGGATGATGCCAGAGAGAAGAAGTGCTAGAGCCTACGTCTTGCTATTCTCAGCTCAGCCTACCTGGCCTACCTGACCTACTCCCAAGTCGGTCTGTCGTCACAGGCCTCACCAGTCGTCCAGCCACCTCAGACGCTGGCAAGTTGACATATTCTGATGGCCACATCCCCGTCGATGAATACCCTCAACGAAACACCAAATCTCTTCCGACAGAAGCGACTCCAATTCCGCATCATAACCCCATCTCTACCCTCCGGATGTCTCTCGACCGTGGCGACCGGTACCTGATTGGTTTCTGTCTCCAGTTAACTTACGACATTGCAGGGCCACCGTCTCCACCTCCACGACGTTCACCGCACTAGGATGGCCGTCCATCACTGCCGATCTTTTGATCAAAACGGCCCTCGGACTGCGCGCAAATGGGTGGGTGGATGCTGAGGATGATGAGCGACAAGACGAAGGGGGTGGGGAGGCCAAGGGTCGGTGGGACAGGGGGGAGTCGACAGTACTGTGAGGGGGGGGGTCGACATGGTGGTGGCTGGACCCCTGGATTGCCTGGGCTGCCTTTGTTGGGGTCCACACGAGAAGGGGCCCTCGCCTGGCTTCCTACCTGGTAGGTACCCAAATGTGCCTCGCTACCCTTCCCAGCCAGAGGTACTCTCTGCCCGTGCCAGGCCCAAGACGGCGCCAGCGTCAGTGTCAGAACCAGAGCGCGCCAACATCCCCCAGCAACGGCCACACGACGCAACGCAGTTGAGCGCCTCTCCTATCC